AGTATATGTTCAAGTGGCATCCACTTCAATATAAAGGCTTCGAGTTCATCATTCTTTATAGCTGAGTAATACTCCATTGTATAAAAATATCACATCTTTTTCATCCATTCCTTGCTGTTGCTTTTTGCATGTTGATTTTGTGTCCTGATACATTGCTGAATTTTATTATTAATTCCAGGAGTCTTTTCGTAGAATTTGTTGGGTCTTGTGTGCAGAGGGTCATGTCATCTGCAAATAACGATAGTCTGACCTCTTCTTTTCCTATCTGTATCTTTTTTTACCTGATTGTTCTGGCTGAATTTTTTAGTATTTTTATTGATCAGGAATGGTGATTTTTGACCTCCTTGTTTTGTTCTTAATTTTGGAGGGAGAGCTTTTAGCTTTTTCCTCTTTACTATGTTGGGAGTGGGTTTGTGAGGATTTTAATGTCTTGTGTAATTTTTGGCTTTTGGTAATACAAACTTCTTGGGCTAGGACGCCCCTAGCTGTAAAGTTATACACAGAGATGTGACTTTTTTTGGATACTGGAGGCCGTTCTTTTTTTTTTTTTCAGAATGCTGATCTCTCTGTGTTACTCAACTTACTCATAATCTTTGAAAAGTGTTGTATACAGGTGTATGTAAAGGACAGTTAAAGTAGATGTTTGTAATTTATTTGGAAGTATTTCTCCCTACTGAATTTTTTTTCTGCTGCATTTTCCAAGAATTCTCTTTTAAGTTCTCAAGAGCTATTATACTGTGTGCTTGGTGATTTTGTTCAGAGAGCTTTCTGGGGCCCATTTTATGTGGGTACTTAATCCTTTCTTGTGGGCTCTACCTTTCAGGACATAATCACCTGCCAAAGGCCACCCTCTTAGTGTCATCACAGGAGGGATTAGGATTTCAACATAGGAGTTTTAGCAGTATGCAGACATATGGTTTGTTGCACAAACTTTCAGTAATTGATACTATTCTATTTGTACTGGACTGTTAAAATGGTCTAGTACCCAGAAGGTAGTAGGTATCAGAGGTTCTCTTAGATCATGTCACAGAAATTTGTAGAACTGCCCTCTTTTAAAGGAGTGAGGGTGGAAATTTCTAGGACAGGGACTGTATGGAGTCCTGCATACTGGAGCTGCCCAGGTAAGCCAGGACGGTTAGCATTTGGATCTTGTTTTCTTAATGTACTTTAACTGAAGAGTTGTTAGATATATTAAGGAGACTTTGTGGAAGTAGAGACTATTTCTAGCCTGTATTTCTAGTTCAGTCTGTGACTTTTAGTTTTTACTGTTGTGATTATCTACATCCCTTACAAATCTTATAAACATAAAATACTTGATTAAAGATTTTTAATATTTTCAAAAGAATGGTCATTATATCATTAAGAGTAGGTGACATTTTCACCATATTCATAAAATAATAAGCCACTGATTTTTATTTTTATTTTATTGCATAATCTTTGGTTCATTTCATTTTCTCTGAAATAGGCTTAATACTTGCAGTGACCCTATTTTAAAGTATGAGGAAAAAACTATAAGGTGAAATGTTTTTTCCAAGGTACATATACAACTAACACATAAAGTTTTGATAATTTCAAGACTTAAGTTGATGTTTTGGATATAATTATAAAGAGTTGATGCTCATTGATTTTTTGAAGGTATAGGTGATATAATTTCTTGAATTACTAATTCACATTAACTTTTTATATGAGCAGGATATTATATTTATAAAAGTACTTACATGACTTGCCCTGAGTAGAGATGGAGTGTCCTGTATCTTAAGTAATGGAAATTCAGCGTGTACCCAAAAGTACTTAAGAATGTCAAAGTATCTTCTTTCCTAAGACTTTCCTAATTTTAATTAGGAAAAATTTGGAGAATGGA